CAAAAAAATGATTTTTGTTTTTTAACAGTTTGGGGAATGGAAGCTGAACTTCCTTTTGGTTCTCCCCGAAAAGGGCTTTCACTTTTTGAACCCATCTTTAAAAAACTAAAAAAAAAATTAGAAAGTTGAAAAAAAAGGGTTTTCTAACTCTAACAATTTTAAAAGAAAAAAGAAACCTATTTCTACATTTATCAAAAGAAACAAAAAAATGGTTCATCGAAGGCATTCTATTTCTAAAAGGAATAATAAATAAATTTTCAAAATCAAAAAGAAATCCAATTCTATTATTTGGATTTAGAGAAGTAGATGAATTAAATAAAACTAAAAACGAAAAAGATTCACCAATCAATAATCGGATTATTCATAAATTTTCCACTTCCATTCGATCTATGGATTGGATAAACTATTCACTGACAGAAAAAAATGAAAGATCTGAATGTCAGAACAAAGACAATAAGAAATCAAATAGAAAAAATTACAAAAGAAAAGAAAAAACGATTTATAACCTCAGAAAGAAATATTAGTCCTAACAAACTAAGTTATAACGCTAAAAGATTAAAATCATCAAAAAATATTTTACAGATATTAAAACGAAACAATGCTCAATTAGTCCGTAAATCCTATTTTTTTATAAAAATTTTGATTGAAAAGATATATATAGATATCCTTCTAGCTATCATTAATATTCCGAAGATCAATGTACAGTTTTTTCTTGAATCACCAATAAAAATTATTAATAAATATATTTATCTGTATAATAAAAAAGAAAATCACAAAAGAATTGATGAAACAAATCAAAATACACTAATTCATTTTATCTCGATTATAAAAAAGGCATTTAATTATAGTAATATTAATAAGAATTCACAGATTTTTTATAACCTAACCTCCTTGTCACAAGCATATGTATTTTACAAATTATCACAAGTCCAAGTTATTAACCTATATAAGTTAAGATCTGTCCTTCAATATCACGGAGCATCTCTTTTTCTTAAAAATGAAATAAAAGATTATTTTGGAGTCCAAGGGCGATTTCAGTTCAAATTAAAAGATGCAAACTTTAGAAATTCTGTAATGAATGAATGGAAAAACTGGGTAAGAAGTAATTATCAATATAAATACGATATATCTGAGATCAGCTGGTCTAGATTAATATCGCAAAAATGGCGAAATAGAATGAATCAACGGCGTATGATTCAAAATAAAGATTTAAACAAATGGAATTTATATGAAAAAGACCAATTAATTCATTACGAAAAACAAAATAATTTTGAAGTAGATTCATTATCGAACCAAAAAGATAATTTTAAAAAATACTATAGATATAATATTTTATTATATAAATCCATTAATTATGAAAATAAGAAAGACTCATCTATTTATGAATTACCATTCCAATTAAATAATAAGCAAGAGATTTTTTATAATTACAAAATAGATAAAAGCAAATTATTTGATATGCCGGGAGGTATCCCTGTCAATAAGCATCTAGCAGAAGATGATATTATCGATACGGAAAAAAGCCCGCATAGAAAATATTTGGATTGGAGAATTCTCCATTTTTGTCTTAGAAAGAAAGTCGATATTGAATCCTGGATCGATACCGGAACCAAACAAAAAAAAACCTTTTTGATTGGATGGGAATGAATGAAGAAATACTAAATCGTCCCATATCAAATTTAGAATTTTGGTTCTTTCCAAAATTTGTGATACTTTACAACGCATATAAGATAAAATCATGGGTGATACCAATCAAATTACTTCTTTTAAATTTTAATGGCAATAAAAATGTTAGTGAAAATAAAAAAATCAATAGAAAGAAAAATAATGATCCTTTTATATCATCGAATGAAACAAAATCTATTAAATTAAAGAATCAAAATCACGAAGAAAAAGAGTCTGAGGATCAAGTAGATCTTGAATCAGTTCTCGCAAACCAAGAAAAAGATGTTGAAGAAGATTATGCAAGATCAGACAGGAAAAAGCGTAGAAAGAAAAAACAATACAAAAGTAATACGGAAGCAGAACTTGATTTCTTGCTAAAAAGGTATTTATGCTTTCAATTAAGATGGGATGATTCTTTAAATCAAAAAATAATCAATAATATCAAAGTATATTGTCTCCTGCTTAGACTGACAAATCCACGAGAAATTATTATATCCTCTATTCAAAGGGGGAGCTGAGTCTAGATATTCTGATGATTCAGAAAGATTTAACTCTTACAGAATTGATGAAAAAGGGAATATTGATTATCGAATCAACCCGTCTGTCGGTAAAAAATAATGGAAAATTTATTATGTATCAAACCATAAATATTTTATTGGTTCATAAGAGAAAACAACAAATTAATCAAAGGTACAGAGAAAAAAGCTATATTGATAAAAATAATTTTACCGAATCTATTGTAATAGATCAAAGTTTAACTAGAAATAAAGACAAAAATAATTATGATTTACTTGTTCCTGAAAATCTTTTATCCTATAAACATCGTAGAGAATTGAGAATTCTAATTTCTTTCAATTCAAAAAATGGAAATGATATAAATACAGAAATTATCAATAATAATAACATAAAAAACTGCGCTCACATTATAGATAAAAGCAAACGTTTTGATAGAGATAAAAATAAACTAATTAAATTAAAACTTTTTCTTTGGCCCAATTATCGATTAGAAGATTTAGCTTGTATAAATCGCTATTGGTTTGATACCAATAATGCCAGTCGGTTTAGTATGGTAAGGATACATATATGTCCACGATTAAAAATTCGGTAACGGTGCATTTGTCATATATATCCCATAGCATATCTAGTATATGAAATATATGAAAACAAGTCAAAACAAGGAAACGGCCATATACATTGTTTTACATCCTATATTCCATTCTGATATATGGAATTCAATCATGTATCAATTCTATCTAGAAATGAATCAAGAGAGTTTTTCGTTTTCGATTTTTAGATATAGATAATTTTTTTTCTTTTGTAAAGGAAGAAATATATCATCCTTTTGTATTTCTAGCCGAATAAAAAAAATTGGATTAATTAATGATAAATTTTATTTGACAAATTAAAGAATTCCTAACGAATTGAAGCTTTACAACGCATATAAGATAAAATCATGGGTGATACCAATCAAATTACTTCTTTTAAATTTTAATGGCAATAAAAATGTTAGTGAAAATAAAAAAATCAATAGAAAGAAAAATAATGATCCTTTTATATCATCGAATGAAACAAAATCTATTAAATTAAAGAATCAAAATCACGAAGAAAAAGAGTCTGAGGATCAAGTAGATCTTGAATCAGTTCTCGCAAACCAAGAAAAAGATGTTGAAGAAGATTATGCAAGATCAGACAGGAAAAAGCGTAGAAAGAAAAAACAATACAAAAGTAATACGGAAGCAGAACTTGATTTCTTGCTAAAAAGGTATTTATGCTTTCAATTAAGATGGGATGATTCTTTAAATCAAAAAATAATCAATAATATCAAAGTATATTGTCTCCTGCTTAGACTGACAAATCCACGAGAAATTATTATATCCTCTATTCAAAGGGGGAGCTGAGTCTAGATATTCTGATGATTCAGAAAGATTTAACTCTTACAGAATTGATGAAAAAGGGAATATTGATTATCGAATCAACCCGTCTGTCGGTAAAAAATAATGGAAAATTTATTATGTATCAAACCATAAATATTTTATTGGTTCATAAGAGAAAACAACAAATTAATCAAAGGTACAGAGAAAAAAGCTATATTGATAAAAATAATTTTACCGAATCTATTGTAATAGATCAAAGTTTAACTAGAAATAAAGACAAAAATAATTATGATTTACTTGTTCCTGAAAATCTTTTATCCTATAAACATCGTAGAGAATTGAGAATTCTAATTTCTTTCAATTCAAAAAATGGAAATGATATAAATACAGAAATTATCAATAATAATAACATAAAAAACTGCGCTCACATTATAGATAAAAGCAAACGTTTTGATAGAGATAAAAATAAACTAATTAAATTAAAACTTTTTCTTTGGCCCAATTATCGATTAGAAGATTTAGCTTGTATAAATCGCTATTGGTTTGATACCAATAATGCCAGTCGGTTTAGTATGGTAAGGATACATATATGTCCACGATTAAAAATTCGGTAACGGTGCATTTGTCATATATATCCCATAGCATATCTAGTATATGAAATATATGAAAACAAGTCAAAACAAGGAAACGGCCATATACATTGTTTTACATCCTATATTCCATTCTGATATATGGAATTCAATCATGTATCAATTCTATCTAGAAATGAATCAAGAGAGTTTTTCGTTTTCGATTTTTAGATATAGATAATTTTTTTCTTTTGTAAAGGAAGAAATATATCATCCTTTTGTATTTCTAGCCGAATAAAAAAAAATTGGATTAATTAATGATAAATTTTATTTGACAAATTAAAGAATTCCTAACGAATTGAAGATTATTGTGTATACCAAATTCAAACGAACTGACATTCTTATTTAATATTCCATTATTTATTATTACTGATCAATAAAACTATCTTAAAAAGGCGGGAGGAGGGGGATTTCATTTTATGGTAAAAAGTTCATTCATTTCAATTATTTCACAAGAAGACAAAAAAGAAAACAGGGGATCCGTTGAATTTCAAATAATAAGTTTTACTAATAAGATACGAAGACTTACTTCACATTTGGAATTGCATAGAAAAGACTATTTATCTCAAAGAGGTTTACGTAAAATTCTAGGAAAACGCCAACGACTACTGTCTTATTTGGCAAAGAAAAATGGAGTACGTTATAAAGAATTAATTAGTCAGTTAAACATTCGGGAGTTAAAAACTCGTTAATTTAAAGAGTCTTTTTTTTATTATTTGATTTTTTAGATCTTGAACTTGAATTTTGATGAACTTCTTTTCGTTTTCAGTAATTCATGAAAAAATGAATCGAGGAACCCCCTATGAATGTACCAGCTACAAGAAAGGACTTTATGATAGTCAATATGGGTCCCCATCACCCATCAATGCATGGTGTTCTTCGACTCATCCTTAGTCTAGACGGTGAAGATGTTATTGACTGTGAACCAATATTAGGTTATTTACACAGAGGGATGGAAAAAATTGCGGAAAACCGAACAATTATACAATATTTGCCTTATGTAACACGTTGGGATTATTTAGCTACTATGTTTACAGAAGCAATAACAATAAATGGACCGGAACAGTTGGGAAATATTCAAGTACCTAAAAGAGCTAGCTATATCAGAGTAATTATGTTGGAGTTGAGTCGTATAGCTTCTCATCTGTTATGGCTTGGCCCTTTTATGGCAGATATTGGTGGGCAGACTCCTTTCTTCTATATTTTTAGAGAAAGAGAGTTAATATATGATTTATTCGAAGCTGCCACTGGTATGAGAATGATGCATAATTATTTTCGTATCGGAGGAGTAGCAGCTGATCTACCTCATGGCTGGCTAGATAAATGTTTGGATTTCTGCGATTATTTTTTAACAGGAGTTGCTGAATATCAAAAACTTATTACGCGAAATCCTATTTTTTTAGAACGAGTTGAAGGAATAGGTATTGTTAGTGCAGAGGAAGCAATAAATTGGGGTTTATCAGGACCAATGCTACGAGCTTCCGGAGTACAATGGGATCTTCGTAAAGTTGATCATTATGAGTGTTATGACGAATTTGATTGGGGAGTTCAGTGGCAAAAAGAAGGGGATTCATTAGCTCGTTATTTAGTCCGAATTGGTGAAATGACGGAATCCATAAAAATTATTCAACAGGCTTTAGAAGGGATTCCGGGGGGCCTTATGAAAATTTAGAAACTCGAAGTTTTGATAGAGAAAGGAATCGAGAATGGAATGATTTTGAATATCGATTTATTAGTAAAAAAACTTCTCCCACCTTTGAATTGCCGAAACAAGAACTTTATGTTAGAGTTGAAGCACCAAAGGGAGAGTTGGGAATTTTTCTGATAGGAGATCAGAGCAGTTTTCCTTGGAGATGGAAAATTCGCCCGCCGGGTTTTATCAATTTGCAAATTCTTCCTCAATTAGTTAAAAGAATGAAATTGGCTGATATTATGACAATACTAGGTAGCATAGATATTATTATGGGGGAAGTTGATCGTTGAAATGATAATTGATACAACAACAGTACAAGCTATCAATTCTTTTTCCAGATTGAAATCCTTAAACGAGGTCTATGGAATTCTGTGGATGCTTGTCCCTATTTTTACTCTTGTATTGGGAATCACGATAGGCATACTAGTAATTGTGTGGTTAGAAAGAGAAATATCTGCAGGGATACAACAACGTATTGGACCTGAATATGCCGGTCCTTTTGGAGTTCTTCAAGCTCTAGCGGATGGGACAAAACTACTTTTCAAAGAAAATCTTTTTCCATCTAGAGGAGATACTCGTTTATTCAGTATCGGACCATCCATAGCAGTCATATCAACTCTATTAAGCTATTCAGTAATTCCTTTTGGCTATCACTTTGTTTTAGCGGATCTAAATATTGGCGTCTTTTTATGGATTGCCATTTCAAGCATTGCTCCCGTTGGACTTCTTATGTCAGGATATGGATCAAATAATAAATATTCTTTTTTAGGTGGTCTACGAGCTGCCGCTCAATCGATTAGTTATGAAATACCATTAACTCTCTGTGTATTATCCATATCTCTACGTGCGATTCGTTGAAACATAAATTTTTCCCTATTCCCTTTTTCTTTATTAGGAAGAAGGTGAAATTAATTGAATATATATCTTCATTTTTTTATTCATCATTTGGATTGATGAACTAAATTAGATAGTTATATGAGTGAAAGAAAACAGCTTCTAAATTTGCAGTAAAAAAAATGGAGACTCATTTCTTATGTACAACAGTAAAGCAGAAATAAACATAGGAAGATGAGATTATTTGTCCCAAAATTGGTTGATTAGTCATCCTGGCTTGAAAGCGGGCTCAAAGAATCAACCTTATTGAGTTTTTACTAGCATTTATATATATTACCGTAATGCTAACGAGCAGTTGAGTAAAAATAAAGATGAGTGGATGGTTAGGAACACCAAGATACATAAAAGATTAGTAATAGAATTATCCAAAATAAAAGAATATTAATTGGGGCTTTAAATTAGTAGAAATGATCAAGCAGTACTCCTCATGATTCCGATCCAGAGTACACTCCTACCCACCAATTAAACAAATGACTATCAGGAACGAAATAATCCTTTCCTTTTTTTTTTCAGAAGGAAGAATAGGAACAAAAAAAGAATATAATTACAATAGAAAAAAAAGATCCTTTTTATTCTTTCCTATATCGATATTCATAGAAATCGAATTCGTGTCATAATTCATGAACTAATGGAATGTCTAATTCTTTTTCGTAATCGAAAATGATAGGTTGAAATATTTATTGGTATTTCTACAAGGAGTATTTTATTGAAAGATTAAAGTTATCGCTCAAGAAAGAAAAATTTAAATTCTTAAAAGATGAGATCAATTCAGAAGTACTTTATTTTAGTATTATAACAGACAGAATTACATTGGTCAAATTTGGGAATTGGGGGGCATTTGATAGATTTGGATCCTATCTATCCTACAAATATATCAAGATAAATAATACGATCTGGCCCTTATATTTTTTTATGGCCTTCGAGGAGCCATATGAGGTGAAAATCTCATGTATGGTTCTGTAATAGCGATGGGAACAGTGATGTCATCACCGACTATGATTATCTAACAGTTCGAGTACAGTTGATATAGTTGAGGCACAATCAAAATATGGTTTTGGGGGATGGAATTTGTGGCGTCAACCTATAGGATTTATCATTTTTCTAATTTCTTCCCTAGCAGAATGTGAGAGATTACCTTTTGATTTACCAGAAGCAGAAGAAGAACTAGTAGCAGGTTATCAAACCGAATATTCGGGTATCAAATTTGGTTTATTTTATGTTGCTTCCTATCTAAACTTATTAGTCTCTTCATTATTTGTAACAGTTCTTTACTTGGGCGGTTGGAATATTTCTATTCCGTACATATCTGTTCCGGAGTTTTTTGATTTTGAAATAAATAAAGTAGGTAGAGTCTTTGGAACAACAATGGGGATCCTTATTACATTAGTTAAAACTTATTTGTTCTTGTTCATTCCCATCACAACAAGATGGACTTTACCTAGACTAAGAATGGACCAACTATTAAATCTTGGATGGAAATTTCTTTTACCTATTTCTCTCGGCAATCTATTATTAACAACCTCTTCCCAACTCTTTTCACTATAAAGTAATACTTTTCGATATTTACAGTTTGTCTCAAACAAGATAAAGAAACAAATCAAAAATTATTCATAGAGATTCACGATATGTTCCCTATGGTAACTGGGTTCATGAATTATGGTCAACAAACCATACGGGCTGCAAGGTACATTGGTCAAAGTTTTATGACTACCTTATCCCACGTAAATCGTTTACCTGTAACTATTCAATATCCTTATGAAAAATTAATCACATCGGAGCGTTTCCGCGGGCGAATCCATTTTGAATTTGATAAATGCATTGCTTGTGAAGTATGTGTTCGTGTATGTCCTATAGATTTACCTGTTGTTGATTGGGAATTGGAAACTCATATTCGAAAGAAACGGTTGCTTAATTACAGTATTGATTTCGGAATCTGTATATTTTGTGGCAACTGCGTTGAGTATTGTCCAACTAATTGTTTATCAATGACTGAAGAATATGAGCTTTCTACCTATAATCGTCACGAATTGAATTATAACCAAATTGCTTTAGGTCGTTTACCAATGTCAGTAATTGACGATTATACAATTCGAACAATTTTGAATTCACCTCAATCTTTAATCAAAATGGGTAAACCTCCTTTGATTAAAGATTGATTGAAGAGTCATTTTTAATAACTAAACAAAGATCTAGGTTTCATCTAAAAGTCTGAAATGTTTTTTTTTCATTTTGTTTGATCAATAACTACAAAAGCTACAAATCCCAACTAGTGATTGGATTTGATTGATTGGTAAGAATTTCAGCGCAGCTTAATTTGGATTGAAAATCTATTAATATAGTCATAATTCTATCCATAATTATTTCGAAATAGAAATAATAAAGTGTCAAATTTTCTTTTTCGAGAAAGAATGAGATTAGTCCAATAACGGTACCTATAGTAATTTAAACCTTTTAGGATTTAATTCAATTAGGAACCCATTCTAAATAAGTTTTTCCTGGTCGGGTCAATAAAATCATGAAAAAAAGAATTTGATTTTTTTATCCTTTATTTTACGTACAATGAATTTACCTGGACCAATACATGATTTTCTTTTAGTCTTTCTAGGATTAGGTCTTATATTAGGAGGTCTAGGAGTGGTATTACTTACCAATCCAATTTATTCTGCCTTTTCATTGGGATTGGTTCTTGTTTGTATATCCTTATTCTATATTTTATCAAACTCTCATTTTGTAGCTGCGGCGCAGCTACTTATTTATGTGGGAGCTATAAATGTTTTAATTTTATTTGCTGTGATGTTCATGAATGGTTCAGAATATTACAAAGATTTGAATCCTTGGACTGTTGGGAACGGTCTTACTTCCCTAGTTTGTACAAGTCTTTTTGTTTTACTAATTACTATTATTCCAGATACAACATGGTATGGGATTATTTGGACTACAAGAGCAAACCAGATTATAGAGCAAGATTTGGTAAGTAATGGTCAACAAATTGGAATTCATTTATCAACAGATTTTTTTCTTCCATTTGAATTCATTTCAATAATTCTTTTAGTTGCTTTGATAGGTGCGATTGCTACGGCTCGTCAGTAATAAATCTTTAAAATTGGCAAACGCAATCCAAATCAAATCAGACTTTGTTCTATGTTATCACATCTATTTGAAGATTATTCATATATAAATTCTTTTATTCGATCTATATTCCAATCTATTTTTTTTTTGTTTTGTACTTGTGATATTCTTATTCTAGTCAATCCAATCTGTTGATGTTAAATTGTTGTTCATTGTTCATATTGAAATAAATCGAAATTGATAAGGAGTTGGGCGATGATGCTCGAACATGTGCTTGGTTTGAGTGCCTATTTATTTTCTATCGGTATCTATGGATTAATCACGAGTCGAAATATGGTTAGAGCCCTTATGTGTCTTGAACTTATCCTGAATGCTGTCAATATAAATTTCGTAACATTTTCTGATTTTTTTGATAGTCGCCAATTAAAAGGAGATATTTTATCAATTTTTGTTATATCTATCGCAGCCGCTGAAGCAGCTATTGGGCCGGCTATAGTTTCGTCAATTTATCGTAACAGAAAATCAATCCGTATCAATCAATTGAATTTGTTGAACAAGTAGTATTAATCATATAAAATAGTTAGATTCATTAATTTGAATTGACATGTATGATACATAGCGTATCTGATAATGTTTACGAAAACGTAAGAAATTAAAGTATCTTGGTTCTATCTCATGAGTCGATCCAAAATTGAATAGACAAATTCTGATAAATCATTGATTCATCTGGTGTCTAAATATATGATTCATTTAAAAATTTACTAGATCAAAATTTATGACGTTCAAAAAAAATTATAGATCCAATGTCACATTCAGTAAAAATCTATGATACATGTATAGGGTGTACTCAATGTGTCCGGGCCTGCCCCACAGATGTATTAGAAATGATACCTTGGGACGGGTGTAAAGCTAAGCAAATTGCTTCCGCTCCAAGAACGGAAGACTGTGTTGGCTGTAAAAGATGTGAATCCGCCTGTCCAACAGATTTCTTGAGTGTTCGAGTTTATCTATGGCATGAAACAACTCGAAGCATGGGTCTAGCTTATTGATACTTTCCATAAAAAACCACTTGAATACATTTGATTTTTTGTTTACCGACAAAAACCCGTACTAAAAAAAAATAATAAAAAAAATAGATTAGGTTTTCGAGTACGGGTTTTTCTTGTCCAAGTGTATCTTGTCTTTACCACGAATTCTTTTCCTTGGTTAACAATATTTGTAGTTTTACCAATATCCGCGGGTTCCTTGATTTTCGTTTTCCCTCATAAAGGAAATAAGGTAATTAGGTGGTATACTATATTTATATGTGTACTAGACCTCCTTTTAATGACCTACGCATTTTCTTATTATTTCCAATTTGACGACCCCTTAATCCAATTGACGGAGTCTTATAAATGGATTCATTTTTTTGATTTTTACTGGAGATTAGGAATAGATGGACTTTCTCTAGGACCTATTTTACTGACAGGATTTATCACCACTTTAGCTACTTTAGCGGCTCGGCCAATTACTCGGGATTCCCGATTATTCCATTTTTTGATGTTAGCAATGTATAGTGGTCAAATAGGATTATTTTCTTCTCAAAATCTTTTACTTTTTTTCATCATGTGGGAGTTAGAATTAATTCCTGTTTATCTACTTCTATCCATGTGGGGGGAAAGCAACGTCTGTATTCAGCTACAAAATTTATTTTGTATACTGCAGGAAGTTCTGTTTTTTTATTAATGGGAGCCTTAGGTATCGCTTTATATGCTTCCAATGAACCAACATTCAATTTTGAAACATCAGCTAATCAATCATATCCTGTTACCTTGGAAATACTATTCTATATTGGATTTCTTATTTCTTTTGCTGTCAAATCACCGATTATACCCTTACATACATGGTTACCAGACACCCATGGAGAAGCACATTACAGTACTTGTATGCTTTTAGCCGGAATCTTATTAAAAATGGGAGCCTATGGATTGGTTCGAATAAATATGGAATTATTATCCCACGCCCATTCTATATTTTCTTCTTGGTTGATAATAGTAGGCGCAATACAAATAATCTATGGAGCTTCAGCATCTTCTGGTCAAAAAAATTTAAAAAAAAGAATAGCCTATTCTTCTGTATCTCATATGGGTTTCACAATTATAGGAATTTGCTCTATAAGTGATATGGGACTCAATGGGGCCATTTTACAAATAATATCTCATGGATTTATTGGCGCTGCGCTTTTTTTCTTGTCAGGAACAAGTTATGATAGAATACGTCTTGTTTATCTTGACGAAATGGGTGGAATGGCTACCCTAATGCCAAAAATATTCATGATGTTCAGTATCTTATCATTAGCCTCTCTTGCATTACCGGGCATGAGCGGTTTTTTTGCGGAATTGGTAGTATTTTTTGGAATAATTACCGCCCAAAAATATTTTTTAATGCCAAAAATACTAATTACTTTTGGAACGGCAGTTGGAACGATATTGACTCCTATTTATTTATTATCTATGTTACGCCAGATGTTCTATGGATACAAGCTGTTTAATGCCACAAATTCTTATTTTTTGATTCTGGACCACGGGAATTATTTGTTTCGATTGCTATCCTTCTGCCTGTAATCAGTATTGGTATTTATCCGGATTTCATTTTCTCATTATCAGTTGACAAGGTCGAAGCGATTCTATCTAATTATTTTTATAGCTAATTTTTTTTTATAGATAATTCTTATAAATAAAATAAAAAATCAAAAAGTAATCCTGTGATTTTTAAAAATTAAAAATTCTTATACAATGAAAAAAAAAAACTTCTCTTAATTTTAAATAAAAAAAAGGGGTTGTAACCAGATATGTTTAGCATTTGTGAGAACCTTTTGAATCACTCCATTACTTGATTCAAGTAATGGAGTGATTCAAAAGGTTCTCAACGACTTACCGGGAGCTTCTTATATATATGTTAAGCTGTCCTATGGTTATATTTGTCAAACTCTTTCTTCAATTTAATTAGATATTAATGTAAATGAACCATAACTATGTAGTCCTATTCCTAATAAATTAACCCCAAAATAGCATATCCAGATTATAAGAAAACCGATAGAAGCGACAATTGCAGAATTTAAACCTTCCAAATTCTTATTTGTTCGAGTATGGAAATAAATCGTGAATATGGTCCAAGTAATAAATGCCCAAGTTTCTTTTGGGTCCCAATTCCAATATGATCCCCATGCTTCATTAGCCCAGACTGCTCCTGAAAGAATACCTATGGTTAAAAAAAGAAATCCTATACTAAGAATACGAAAACCCCAATGATCTAATTGTTGAATCAATTGAAACTTGTAATAATTCCTAGAAGAAGGAAAAAAAGTATTTCTTAAAATATTGCTTTTTTCCATCATGTATTGGATCTCATCAACCGGAAATGAATCATTTAATAAATTCTTGTTTTTACCAAAAATTCTTATGACTTTTCGAAATGTAATTACTAGAAGTGCTGCTGATAATAATGATCCACATAAAAGAGCTGCATAGCCCGATACCATCATACTTACGTGCATTATTAACCACTGGGATTGGAGAGCAGGTACTAAGATTTTAGATTGATGCATGTCGGTTAAAAGACCCCAAGTAGCAAAACCTTGGGTAAAAAAAGTACTTGGTGCGGTTATTGTGCTTAAATAATTTTTATGTTTTTTAAAATATGGAACCATATGAATAATAGAGAAAATCCATGAAAGAAATATTAATGATTCATATAAATCACTTATTGGTAAATGCCCCGAATAAATCCAACGAGTAATTAATAATCCTGTTAGGCATAAAAAAGTAGTTAACATGCCTTTTTCTGACGAATCATAGAGTCCTACGAATTCATTGACTAATAAGGTTAGAAAATGAATTATAATTACAATTGAAACGACCGAAAAAGATATATGAGTTAATATATGTTCTAAAGTCAAAAATATCATAAAAAGAAAGGGGGGATACTTTAATTATTCATAATTATACATACGGAATTGAATTCATTATAGGATTTATCCTATCCTTTTAATAATTGGATAATTAAAAAATGTTATGCCGCCACTCGGACTCGAACCGAGATGCTCTAG